ATGCTTTATGCTGCTTTGATCAGCTTGATTTCTCACGTCCACAAAAGTATTTCAAACTCTCTTCAAACTTCCCCCATCATTTCCCTTTTCTGAGCTGATGGCCCCACCTCCTACTACCAAGAGAAAGTACAAGTCATAATGTGAAAACTTCAACTTCCCTTTAGCAACCTTACACAGATCCCTAGGTTTCCACTTGTGATCTCTTGCTCCTGCCTGTTACAATGAGGGAAGTATTCTTCCTCTCATCACCTGAGATCCCTTCTCTACCCTAACTCAATTTTATACTGTCAACTGTCTACTCTCCTCTTTGTCTTTGACCTCTCTCTATTTACTCTTTCCTTCGGCAAAACATGTGAACATGCTGCAATCTCTCTATCATGAAAAATAAAACAAAACAAAATCCTTCCTTCACTCTATTTTCCCTTCTAGCGAGCCTAATTTCTTAAGTCACAGGTCTGGGACTTTGTGAGGTCAAAGAGAGAGACAACTGACATGGATGCAGAAGTACATAATCACTGAGAAGAGAGACAGCTTGAAGAAAACATGGGGACAGCTGCCAATCACCACAGCGAAAGTGGAGTCTGCAGCCAGGTTTAATCCAAGGGGCTGAGAGCCACAGCTGACACATAAGACATGCTTGCTACAAGCAATATGGCATAAAAAATTGGGCTCTGGAATCAGTGTCTTTATTTGTAAATTTGCAATAATAATAGTTACCTCACAGCACTGTCTTGAGAATTAAATAAACTAATGAATATAAAGCTACTTACCATGGTAAATGCCCAATAAATATTATAAATTATTGTTTTTGTCATTGTAATAGTATGATAGGTAGCTTTGCTCATTCAGATATGAAAGCATATATATTCATTATGGAAATACGTATAAAGTAATACAGTTGTCTTTGACCTACAATTTTGGCTAAGGTTTTAGACATGACATTCATTCATTCGTAGAAAAAAATGTGTGTCAGACACTTTGCTAGACAGTAGGGATACCGAGAAGAATAAGAAAGAAGCTCTACCCTCAAAGATCTCACTTAGGGCAGTCAAGGCATAAGCATATGATTATAATACAGTATGATAAACACAGTGTGATAGGCATAGGGTATTTTGGGGAGTTCAAAGGAGGAAGCACATAGCTTGGGGTGAGGTGCACGGAAGAAGCCTTCCCAGTTGAAGTGAAACTGGATCTAACTCAAAGTGTGAGTAGGTGTTAGCAGAAGAAACGGAGAAAGCAGGCAGGAGAAAGGTATTAAAAGTCCCTCAGGTATAAGGCACTGAGATCCCATATTCTATTTAATTCAAAAAAATGCACTACTAAAAAGATGTTTGGAACTCATTGGCCCATTTGCTTGAGATATAAGAAATAAGCCATCACTTGAAACTACAAGGAGGAGGCAAAACTTCCTTCCCTGGGAGTGGAACACAGCAGTAATTGCTGTAAACAGAGTGACACAGTATATTTTAAGAAACCTGGTGGCTGGGAGCCCACTACCAATGATGAAATTATCTAGGTGATGTCACCATGGTCCAGGATTTTCATCCTCAGATTGGAAGCGCAGAAAGTTGATTGCCGGTGCGGTGTGATTAATTACTTCTGTGTGTGGCCTTTTTAGCCATGATCTTGTAACTCCCACCCAAGTGACTGTGTGATAGGTAATTGTGGTTTACCAAAGGGATTGGTCAGTTTTGCCTTCAAAGAGAGCCAATTCCAGAGCACGGAGGAGCACACCACCACCAAGGAAGGAGAGACCAGCTGGGGAGACCTGGCAGCAGGAGACGGTGTGGTGGGCTTCCCGGCCCACAGAGAGAGAAAGCTGAGTGCCTCTGGGCAGAGATTGAAGACCAGGGAGAGGAGTGCCTGTGAGCACAGCTGGGGAGAGGTTAGCCTGATGAAAGAACTGTATCCTGAGTGTTCCTGAGCCTGAATTATAACTGTTACTTCCCTTATAATAAACCCCATAATTGGGAGTGTGGTCTTTGAGTTCTGTGTGGCCGTTGCAATGAATTATTGAACCCAGCAGAGAAGTAGAGAGAGCTGTGTGAGGGATGCTGGGTGTCAGAATTAGTAAAGATGGCAGAGAGAGAGGCTTGTCTGGCCTCCGCCTCATGGGAGTCAGCCTTGCGCTGTTGATCCAGGTTCTTCTTCCCCCTTGTGGGGTTCGAGGGAGTCAGAAACTGCCCCCAAGCCGTTTTTACAGCCAGTTTATTGAAAGAGATGATGAGGTCCTTGGGGACTGGCTCAAGGTAAACATAGGTGATGAATACATAAACTACAATGCATTCATTTATAGGAATAAATATAAAATTTATGCAAACTGAAATACTCATGTTGTCATGATTGATATATTTGCTCCATCTAGGTGATGCAAACGGTTAAGCGCTCAGCTGCTAATGGAAAAGTTGGCTCTTAGAAGCCACCCAGCAGCTCTGTGGGAGAAAGATCTAGCAACCTGCTTCTGTAAAGATACAGCCAAGAAAACCCTATGGGGCAGTTCTGCTCGGGAGGTTGCTATGAGTCAAAATTGACTCAATGGCACCTAACAACAGCAACAGAGCATGCTAAATAGGTTGCTTTAAGTGCCTGAAATCACAACAAAAGGAGTTAGTTGGCATGGTCAGCTGTGTGTCTCGGACAGGGATCTGGGCAACATGGGGTCAATTTCGTATTGTGACTCTTTGAAATCTTAATCTATGTGATTTTATAGATTTCAAGATTTTCAGTGTTGTGGTTATTTGAAAGATGAGATCTGGAACAGGGCAGGTTCCAGGCAAGTGATCTGCTGAGAATGCATTTTGGAATATGTACAAATAATACACGCTGAGGCAGCATCACAAGCTGAAGCCATGTTAGGGCATGCGGAGGAAAAAAATTAGCATGGGAATACATAACTGCCAAATAATTAGTGCAGTGTAGGCTGTGAGGGTGGGATAAGTCTGAACCTTTGAGGGCTAGATACATTATAGTAACACCCATCCAAAGTATTATGCATACTGTCCATTTATGTAAAATAATTCTATGTATATACATAGAAAAAGGTATGAAAGTTTATATAAAATATTGAGTGGTTTTTTTCTTTATTACGGAAACATGAATGTCTCCTATTTTCTTTTTGCATTATCTGTGATTTCAACGTTTTCTGTAATAAAGATGTGCTGCTTATGTAGTAAAGAAATTTAAAGTTAGAAAAAGTTGACACAAGATGGAACAAGACTGAATGTCTCTGCTGTTTACTGGAACAACTATTAGCAATGTAACTCGAATGATGTTGGACGCGAACATTTTAAGTCCCGTAGGAAATACCGTGAGGGATAGCAGGAGAGAGGCTGTTTAAAGAAGTAGAGGAAGTGCGATGGTGCCGCACAAAAAAGAATTTCTTTTCAGTTTGTGCTGAAAACAGGAAGGTTCTATTTTTAGTAAGAGTTTTAAATGCCCCTCCCATTGCCAAGGCCAGCACAGACAAAATTTATCTTGCATAAAGAACGCACATATTATTTTTCAAGTGTGCTAGAATAAAAAAAATTGAGCGTGTTCTGGGCCATAAAGCAAGAAGTCACATCTTACAGAGGCTCAATAGTATATAGACCACAGTGCAATTAAATCAGAATTGATAACAAAAAGATAAGTAAAACTTCCTGAGTAGAATAAATAACAAATCAAATATCCACCTTTCCTGACACCAACTATTAAGACAGGGCTAGAGCCATAGAGCCGTTGTTCTGAGCCTCAAGACTGCCTCTCGCCCCGCCCATTTCCTAGAGTTCTTTTTTTTCCTCCTCAGGACCCCCTTAAAGAGAACCAGGCACCGGCTAGCCGGAATTGGCTGAAACAGGTCCTGCCCTCCATCCTGGCCTTCCAGATGACCTTTAGCTCATTACTGCTTCATGCATGGTAAATTCTCCTCCACCTTGGTGGAGAGCTGACATGCTAATGAACAATAATGACTAAGTTCCTCCTGCACGGGGAATCGAACCCGGGATGTAGAAAATGCTTACTCCTTCTAAAATGCCTGTGCGCGCTCCATTTTGTATTCCGAAACTAATCCTGCCTATATAAACCAGCCTCAACAAGCTGCCTGTGAGGCAGTCTTGGATGGCACGCAGCCGGGTCTGTCTCCTTGCTTGGCCAGCCAATGAAGTTGCCTTTCATTCTTCCCAACTCGGTCTCTGTCTTTTTGGGCCTGATGGAGTTACACTGAGCAGAGCCCAGGGTTCCCAGCAACAAAATCAGTCAAAGAGATTATTACCTAAGTGAGGGCCTGGTGTAGGAAAACCACAAGGTGCAGCACCCTAGGGCTAGTAACAGTGGAGGCTCCATTATCACCCCTAAACTGGAAGGGGTGAGGCGAGTGATTGCTGTGTGAAGAGGACCCAGGAGCAGTGACCTTGTGTCTTAGTTATCTAGTGCTGCTATAACAGAAATACCACAGGTAGGTGGCTTTAACAGACAGAAATTTATTTTCTCACAGTTTAGAAATCTGGAAGTCTGCATTCAGGGTGCCGGCTCTAGGGGAAGCCTTTTTCTCAAGGGTACAAATTGGATCTGAAGAGCAAAAGACATCCAACCAAATCCCCATAAACTTCTGTATCTGAGAGACAGAAGGGAGAAGGAGGTGTAAGACGTTAAGTCCTACCTGCAAGAAACTTTTAGACTGGTCGGTGATGACTAAATGTAAACAACGTCTCTAATGTGATTAAAGACTAAACACAAATACTAAATGAGTGGTATTGAGAAAGAATAGTCAATAATAACCTCAAGGTTGCAATTCCATCGTTGGCTTTGGTGATCACATGATCAGGCAGAGCAGTGTTAGAGGCTCTGAGCCTGGACTGGCAAGTGCGTGCTTGAGGGACTCATCCTTGAGCTCATGCCTGAGCTGTTTATAGGTTTCACCAACACCTAATTTACTTATTCATTCATTCAACCATTCAGAAAATATTTAATAAACATTTTTAACTACATGCCGTATCTTGGGGATACTGACTAAGACAAATTACCCTCCCTTCAAAGGCTCACAGTCATATTCAACATTATCTTGCCAGAGGTGTTTCCTCCTCATAACTTCTCTGTTTTGGCCAACCTAAGTTCCGATACTGGCTCTGACTTTTAGCAGCTGTATGAGACAAGTTGTTCATCTTCTCAGGATCTGTAAAGCAGGGATAATAGTTACTTTACAAGTTGTTGTGAATTAAATTAAAGGATGTCCCTGGCACATCGTAGGCAACTTAATAAACATAGGAGAGTAGAATGATGGAGTCACAAACAGAAATGGATGAGTTGGGAAATAGTCTTTCTAGTTCTGCGGGATCTCCCGAAAAGGGATGATGATATCCCACAGCCTTAAAACACTCATAGTTAATAAATTTTCCATTACTACACTAAAGATGGCTGCTACTTCTGAATGTAGACATTTTTCATTGAATGCTATTAAAACGCCCTGCTGGGCTTAACAGACAGAATGGAGACTTTGCCAACAGGTAGACCTGGGTTCAAATCCTGACTCCACCAATTAGGAGTATTGAGCAAGTTGCTTTAAGTCCTCTGAGCCATAGCTTCCCCAGTTACAAAATGCAGTGTTGCTATTACAAGGATTTAATATTGATGAAATGCCAAAGAGATACTTACATTTCATCTGCCACTCTTGTTAGTTGAGCCGGACTTAGGAATCTGAATCTTGTTTACCTGTCTCTACTAAGGATAAGCAGTCCTTATGTTCACCAGGTCATCCCATGGTTCTTTTCAGCGAATTTCACCCTTGTTCCCTGGGCCTTTCTGGTCACAGCAGAATGGAACAAGACAGTCAAGAAGAGGAAGAAGGAAAGGAGGCCCTGCATTCTCTCCTCCCATAGGGAAGCTTTAGTTCCTCATTGGTTTCACAGATATGTAGCTAAACTTCTCTGCACCGGAAAAGAATAAAGTAAAGAGGAAGTCTTGAACCTCCCTTTTGAGATTAGACTGAGTAGGGCAGAATGTGACTAACCAACAGCAATTGTAAATGATGAGTATATGTATTAGTGTCTTAGGTATCTAGTGCTGCTATAACAGAAATACCACAAGTGGATGCCTTTAACAAACAGAGATTTATTTTCTCACAGTTTAGGAGGCTAGAAATCCAAATTCAGGGTGCCAGCTCTAGGGGAAGTCTTTTTCTCTCCATTGGCTCTGGAGGAAGGTCCTTGTCTCTTCAGCTTCTGCTTCCTGGTTCCTTGAAGATCTCCCTGTATCTTAGCATAGGTCTTCCTCCATATCTGCATGCTAGCTTGTGTTTGATCTCTTTTATATCTCAAAAGAGATTGACTCAAGATATACCCTACACTAATCCTGTCTCATTAACATAACATAGACAACCCATTCCCAAATGGGATTATAACCATAGGCATAGAGGTTATGATTTACAGCATATATTATTGGGGGACATCCATAACATTTTATCCTTTGGCCCCCCCAAAATTCATGTCCTTCCCACATGTAAAACACATTCCCCCCATCACATCATCCCCAAAGTCTTAAATCAACTCGAAGTCCAAAATCTCATATTCTGAATCATCTAAATTAAATATGGGTGAGACTTTAGGTGTATTTCAACCTGGGGCAAAATTCCTCTTCATCTGTAAAATATGGAATACAAGTTATCTGCTTCTGAAGCACAGTGGTAGAACAGGCATAAGGTAGACATTTCCATTACAAATGGGAGCGTTTGGAGGTAAAAAAGGGATAACAGGCACCAGGCAAGTCCAAAACCCAGCAGAACAAATTACATTAGCTCTCAAGGCTTGAAAATAACCCTCTCTTCTCTGGGACTATCTAGGCAATGGCCTTGCCCTCCAGTCTCTGGGTGTTGGACATGCTCTCTGGATTCTGGGTGGAGGCCCCTTGGCCCTGGGCTTCAGCTCCACCTTCAAGGCCTTCTCAGTTGGCAACTCTTCTCCCTCTGCTTTAAGCAGCCCCATTCTCTTAGTCCATCTGGGTGACATCTCCATTCCCTCTGCCCTGGTAGGCCCTGTTCTTCTGTTCCTTGGGCGTGGCAACCCCGCCGCCTCAGTTTTGGGTGGCGGCCCCATCCCCCTAGTGTACCTTAACAGTATCCCCACACTCAGGAACCAAGCTGGTAAAGATCTGACTCTTTGAAACATAGGAGGTTGTGGTCTGACCTTTGAAATCCAGGAAACCATGTCTCCACCATTTGAAACCAAGAAGGCCCTGCTTCCCATGCTCCTTCCAATAGTTCTGCTGATCTCTGAACTGCTCCAGAGATGGTCTTTTTCTTTTCTTGAAAGACAACAGGCGTAGCTCCTTTGGTCTGTTTCCTGCTGGTAGAATCCCAAGAGGCAGACAGCATTATTTCCTTTAGTTCTTTCGCTGTCTGCTTCTGTCTAAGATAATGGGATTTCCGCTGTGGTATTTAGGTAGATCCATAAGTCACAGGCTTAATCTCTTTAACAAAAGATTATGTAGCTGTGTCCTTGATGAACATTCTAGGACATGTGTCCTTAGTTTGTACAACGGAATTTCCCAAATCTGTAAGCTCAGTTTTCATCTTGCAGAGTTCATTTTTAAGGTCTTCTCTTTCCTCTCACATTTTACTATAAGCGGCAAGGAGAAACCACTCAGCCCCTTTAAGATCTTGCTTAGAAATCTCATTAGCCAGATATCCAAGTTCATAACTTACAAGTTCTACCTTCCACCAAACATTTGAACATAGTTCAGACAAGCTCTTTGCCACTGCATAAAAAGCATTGCCCTTACTCCACTGTGCAATCACATGTTCATCATTTTCTTTTAAAATTTCACCAGAAGCACATTTAACGTCCACATTTCTAGCAACATTCTGTTGCTGGAGCAGTATGTATTCTCTAAGATGATAGAGACTTTCTCTATAGTTCTCCTCACTTCCTTCTGAGCCCTCATAAAAATTGCCTTTGATGTCCATAATTCTACAGTCTCTTCAAGGCAATTAGACTTTTACTATTGTTGTTGTTAGGGGCTGTCTAGTCAGTTCCCTTAAAACTCTTCCAGCCTCTACTCATTACCCAATTCCAAATCTGCTTCCACATTTCAGGTATCTGTTAGAGCAGGACCCCACTCCTGGTACCAAATTTTGTCTTAGTTATCTAGGGCTGGTATAGCAGAAATACCAAAAGTGGGTGTCTTTAACAAACAGAAATTTATTTTCTCACAATTTAGTTTAGTTTAGTTTAGTTTAGTTTAGTTTAGTTTAGTTTGCTTCCTTAAAGATTATAGCCTTGAAACCCAATGGGACAGCTCTACCCTGCCCTATAGGGTCGCTATGAATCGGAATTGATTCAATGACACACAACAACAACAAATTGTATTCCAGGTACTGTGCTAGGATCCGTGGATATAGATGAATAAACCATAGTCCCTGCCTTTGAGGAGTTCATGACCTAAAGGAGCCTAGAAGGTAAATAGCTCACTTCAGTAGTGTTGTAAGTGCTGTGATAGAAGGTGCTTTGGGGAGCACAGGGGATGAGCATAAAACATAGATGGCAAGTGGAAGGTCATGAAGTCCTGCAAGAGGAGTTTACATCTGAGTTGAATCTCAAAGCATAAATGAAGAATGTGGGAAAGATTCCTAGGCAGTGGAGTCAGTATAAACAAAGCCATTATCAGTGTCATACACAAAATCATCAACCTGTATTATTGATTATCTCCTATATACAATATTATGGGGTAGGTTTTCTATTTGGGTTGGGGTTTTTGTTTTAGACCTACACGGCTTCCTTCTCACTGGGGTACTTACAGACTAGTTGGTTATCTAAGATAAGTGCCAAATGAGCATCTCACACCAATAAGGAAGTGCCCTGGGAATTCAGGGAACGAAGGCATCGCTTCTGGTCTGGAGATCCTCTCGGAAGAAGTGAAATCCGAACTGATCCCAAAGGAGAGATCATTCATATTTAGTTAGGAGAGAGGAAGAAAGGCATAAAAAACACACACAAAGTAGCTCAAACCAAAAGGGGGAATGTACTGGAAATATGTTGTTGTGTGCCATTGAGTTAATTCCAACTCACAGCAACCGAATATGACAGAAGTAGAACTGCCCCATGGGGTTTCCTAGGCTTTAATCTTTACAGGGCCAGATTCCTAGGACTTTTCTCCTATCGAGTGGCTAGTGGGTTGGAACCACCGACCTTTCGGTTAGCAGTCGAGCGCTTAACCATTGTGCCACCAAGGCTCCTTACTGGAACCATAACAGGGTTATTCATCACCCCAACCCCCATCCCATCCCCTCACCCCATCCCCAGCTTGGAGTTCTGTAGTGTACCACAGTCCATCCTCAAGTATGGATACTCTAACTCCTCACCAAGGAGTCCCTGGGGGGTGCAAAGGTAAACACACTGCTGCTGTCTAGAAGGTTGGAAGTTGGAGTCCACCCAGAAGTACCTTGAAGAAAGGCCTGGCAATCAGCTTCCAAAAAATCAGTCATTGAATGCTCTGTGGAGCACAGCTCTACTATGACACCTATGGGGTCACCAGGAGTTGGAAATGACTAGATGACAACTGATTTTTCTTTTAGCTCCTCATCAACTGCCTTCTGCTAGCAGTAGGCTCCAGACAATCCCTTCCATCCCCTTTAGGTATGGAAAGAGGCACGTATCCAGCAGCAGAGTGGAATCTCCTGAGTGAACCATCCTGGTTTTCTAGTCCAGGCATTGCTCTGGGCACTGGCATTATGCCCTATCAAAGGAACCCTCTCTTCTCACCACAGGCCCGGGCAATCTGCAGACTACATCTCTATTTCTTAGCAAGCTGTCATGGTGAGATATTAACATTCACTCTCTTTATTAACCTAGAGACATCAATATTTTCCCTCCTGTTTCCCCTCCACACCTCTCAACCTGTTCCTTCTTATACGTATCCTGTTGTTGTTAATTGCCATTGACTGGATTCCAACTCATGGTGACGCCATGTATGCAAAGCAGAACTGCTCCATATGGTTTTCAGACCTGTCTTCTGAGGTGCCTCCGGGGGGGTTCGAACCACCAACCTTTTGACGAATAGTTGAGTGCTTAACCATTTGCACCACCCAGGAACTCCAATATGCAGCCTAACCCCCCAGAAAGGAAAGATCTTTTGTATTTTAGGGAGATGTTACCCTCCCAAAAATGATTAACATAATTTTAACCTTCTTTGTAGGGTAGAGAAAACAACAACAATGGATTCTGCTACAGAAAGATATGGGGCCTTTCATGGATCCCAAGGGCAGAAAGTAGAGGCAGATGTTTGAAAGCCTGGACACTTAAGGACTGAAGGTAAACCAGGGCTTTGACCTCATTTGTTCTGGTTCAGACTCTTTGCTGAGAATTTGTGTTTCTAACAAGTTCCCAGGCGATGCTAATGCTGCTCATTAGGGACCAATCCTGAGAACCATTAGTAGAGTAGTGGGTCTCAAAATTTATTATACATAAGAATCGCCTGGGGATCTTGTTAAACTGTAGATTCTGATTCAATATATCAATGAGGTGGAAATGCAAATTCTCAGCAGGGGTCCGAACTGAAAGCTGGTTTGAAGCCCTGAGATAAACTCTCTGATTCTCAGGGGCTGTGTGGTCTGTCCTCCCTGCTTCTTTCAGGGTATTTGCTTTATGCTTCTTGCTCTCTCCATTGATTGGGTTCCTTCCCTTCAGCACATGGTGGGAAATTTCAGCCCTAGCGCCACATGACCTGCCATCTTATCACTCAGCTCTGATTAACTTGTGATTAACTCGCCCCGCTTCCTAGAAAAAATGATTGGTCCTGCAGGGGTTAGATGTTTACCTTATTCCAATCAGCTGTGGCCAGGGGCACAGGCTTACATGG